TCACACAAAGGTGATCTCAGCACTTGGGATCACATGCTTTTAATCCCAGCACTAGGGAATTATTAAAGGAAGAAGCGGAGGGTGTCATGCGGAGAGAGCATTGTACTCCGCGGATTTGTGGAGCCAGGCTCACCCTCTCAGTTTGAGGTAGTGGTAAGAGCTAGTGGCTGGCTTCTTTGCTTATCTGACCATCAGCTTGAATCCCAACATCGATCTCTGGGTTTTTATTTTTCGTGTTACAATCTTCCAAGCTACACATAGGATTTTTAAGAACCAGAAATCATGCATGAATTTTTCATGAGTCTGTTAGCTTCTGGATATCCAGTATATACACATACCACCTGCCTACGACTACAGAGCAACACCTTGACATTGTTTTCTTTAGTAAGAGCAGAGAGAAGTAGCTCAAGGAGTATCTATTAGGAAGCAGAGTATGCAGTCTTAAGACTTCATCATATCTCTCTTGTATGATTTCATCTTGATCCTCTTCAGACTTGCCCCTGCTTCTGGAATTCTACACTATCTGGAATTGTATCTGACCCCCATTGCTTACATTCTCACAGACAAGCTAGAAACGGGTCAGATGTACCAATGGATGAGGGACGAGGAAGAGATTTGTCAGTCATCTATAAAAAGAAGTGAAAGAACCAGGACCAGGGAGACAGCTTAGCCAAGTGCACAGGACTCAAGAGTCCCAGCACCATAAAAAAGTCAGGTGCAGGAGTGTGTGTAATCCCACAGCTAGGCAGGCAGACACAGAAGGATGCATGCAACTCGCCAGCCAGCCGATCTAGCCAAATCAGTCAGCTCCAGGTTCAGGGGAAAAAAATAAGGTGGAGAAGAAACTGATGAAGACTCCAGATATCAACCTCTGGCCTCCACACACATGCACTTAGTATGTGCACATAAATTTTCACAAATACTTGCACACACAAACACACACACAATAAATGAAACAGCAAGCAGTAAAATATCTGACAGTGTGTAAGGAAAACTAATTTAGAAGAGTCATTATTGAGGTATTAATATAAACATGAAAAAGGGGGAAACAAATCTATACATGTTAGACACCAAATGTCACTGTGAGATCAGATGAATTTCAATGTCATACCACTATCCTACTTCTATACACAAGACAAAAACTCTCCTGCATCAAACATAAAATACTAAAGAGATTACCAAGCCTGTCAGAAAGATTCTTCTCTAGCATCTCCCACGATGAAGTCTGAGAGCCTAGAGTTGCCTGTAAATTTTCTATCTGTCGGAGCAATGGTCTTGTTGTTGATGAAACACTTTGACTCAGTTCTTGGTTTCGATTCTCTGCTTCTTGGAGTCTCTAAATCAAAAAATGCTCACATTATTACCACTGACAGAAACAAACAAACAAAAAAAAAAAACACTAAAAACACCAGAAAACCTAAACTTCAGAAAGTTTTTCCAGGAGAAAGTTATTAGCTTTTTTACTATACATACATATATATATGATAGATAATGAATATACAACAAATCTATCATGATAAAATTACTTCCTTTAAAGCAAAATTAGAGATTTCCCTTTTTCATTTCTTTAAGGGGATTACTTTGGTTCCCATAAGCTATGAACATACATCAATAGCATTTATAATAGGAATGCTTTCAATTGAGGAATATTAGCCCAGTGAATGATCATGTTACTTCAAGAAGACACATTCTTGACCTCACGCTTAGGAAAGCTGTGACAATACCTGCTGAAGTTCACTGATCTCATGGCGTAAATAATCCTCTTTCCTCGCAGCAGTTTGCTCTGCCCGTTGCAGTGCTAGTCTAAGGTCCCCCACCTACAAGACAAATAACACTCCTATTGTCAGAACACTGGCTGTAACTTCCTGCTGATGACATTTGTATTAACCTTTTATGTATGACACTTCACACTAAACAATGAACTCACATCCCACTCCTTAAGCAATGCCAGAGCTATAAATATATTCAGAGCTATAAATATATTTATCTAAGAAAGCACTCTGTTAGCCAAAGAAAAGCATGCAAATATGTATAGTCCTGACATATAATAGAGAGGAGATTATTTATGCATAAACATTTGCCACAACACAGGGTGTGGTAAGAACTAGATGAGCTATAAGTAAGTAAATAAATAAAGCCTAGGCACTAAACTAGGTGTGGTGGCAACACCTGTGATTTCAGTGTGAGCAAGTTCCAGGCCAGCCTTGTCTACACAGTGTTCCAGAAAGATCTGAGCTACACAGTAGGCCCTATCTGAACACCAAAAACCTAAAATTAAAGGAGAAAAGTGTTAGCAGAGTGTGACGGTGTGTACTTGCAGTCACAGCTATTAGGGAGAAACTGAGACAAGAGTTAAGGGTCACTTGAATAACATGGCTAGACACTGTTTCAGAACACAAACAAGGAAGAAGGTACTACTCATATATAGTCGCACACTTTGTAACTGTCTCCTATTTAAATCATATTTAAATAATCAGAAAATGCTGTCAGGCCTCTAGCTGGTTATTGTAGTCCTGAAGACTCACTCTATGGAGCATACAGACTTGCCCTGCAGCATTAGCAAGCCTGGCAACAACAAAATGAAACCAGAACTCTAAATAGCCATCAGTATTGTAATTTGTTTTCAAATATTGATACATGAACATAAGCATTAAAAATTATAATCAATGCATAAAATATTTATTCATCCTAAATGAAAAGACTATAATATCTATAGTTATCAATTATAAGAAAAAAACTAGATAGAGATAATATTAACAAAGTAACATACAAAATGATCAAACCTTACACAGCATAGTGGTTTTAAGAATGACAGTCCCATACTCTATTCCTTACTCCCTCTATTTTTCTTTATTACTGTAATGTACTTTTAATTTGAAAGAATTTTTCAAAATTGGCATATGTCTCTGTGTAAGTGTATGCATGTGTACTACATGTGTACAAGAGGCCATGGAAGTCAGAAGAAGTCACTGGACCACCTGGAACTAGAATTATGGGCAGTTATAAACTGCCATGTGCAATCTGGGAACCAAACCTGTGTCTGTAAGAGCAGTATGTACTCCTAACTGCTGAGTCATCTCATCAGCCCACTAATTTATCTATCTATCTATCTATCTATCTGTCTGTCTGTCTGTTTATTTATTTATTTTTGGTTTTTCGAGACAGGGTTTCTCTGTGTAG